AGTGTGTGGGTTTCAATGTGTGTTCATAGATGGTTATCTTGTGCACATTTAATATGATGACTTACGGGAATACTTATTTTCCTTTAAGTATAGCTGAATAGGCCAATTTATTTCTAAGGAGGTTAGAAGAACATGTAATCTTTTTATTTTCTTTCTTTCTTTCTTTCTTTCTTTCTTTCTTTCTTTCTTTCTTTCTTTCTTTCTTTCTTTCTTTCTTTCTTTCTTTCTTTCTTCTTTCTTTCTTTCTTTTTACATTTGTCTCTGCCTCCCCCCCCACCACTTTCCCTTGCCCCCTCCCTCCTTCCCTCCCTCAGCTCTTCCCCTTTGGTTTTGTCCATGAGTTCTTGCTATATGTTCCTTGACTTTCCCTTTCCCTTCCCTTTCCCTGCCCGCCCCTCCCTCCTTCCCTCTTGCCTCTGTTGATTTCTTTTCCTTTCAGTGTTGCTGGTCATATTTTCCTTGCATCTTTGTATTGTTGGTTAGGTTCCGCTTATAGGTGAGATCATATGGTATTTGTCTTTCGCCCCCTGGCTTATTTCACTTAGCATAATGCTCTCCAGTTCCATCCGTGCTGTCGCAAAGTTTAGTAGAGAAGAACATGTAATCTTGACGGTGCCCAGGATGGGATGGAGGGTGACAATGCCCACCGATACCACTGTGTCGGTGTCAGTCCACTGTTACCTGGAGGAGGGGCAGTGAAGTTTAAATGTCTTCTGTGAGTTGAAGACAGGCAAACGTGAAATACAGCTTTGGGAGGATCCACTGGGGTGAGGCTCCTGTCAACCATCAGCTTGGGTAGAAAAGCTTTGTTCTTCTGAGCAGTGATGCCAACCGATGGCCCCTTCTAGTGGAAGCCTGCCAGAGACGCAGGCCAGGATCAGAGATACGCTCCCAAAGCCCAGGTCCCTGTAAATACATTTTTCATATTTTGGCTTGAGAAGGAAATAATGTAGACTATAATATGTGGCTCTTATTTTCTTTTTCTATATTAATAGGCCCTCTTAAATGTTTGACAATTAAGGCTAGGCTTCCTCTTAGGAGAATAGAAAGTTGCACAATAGGCTGACTCTAACTGTAGCAGCAGTTTGTCCACATCATTCCCAGGAAATCTCTGGAGGGAGCTGGAGAGTAACACGGTGTATTGATTTTTGTATTGCTGTGTAACAAATCACCCAAAACTTAGAAGATTAAAATAGAAACAATTTCATTTGCTCAGAGTTTTGTAGGTCAAATATTTGGAACCGTTCAGCCAGGAAGTTCCTGTGCCAGTCACCCCATGGGTGGCTGCGTGTGGCTGGTCAGCCTAGCATGGCTCACTTACATCAGTTGGGGTTGGCTGCCTGCTGAGCAGCATGGCTCTTTGGCTTGTCTGGGCTTCTTCACATGGTGATTAGCTTGTAAAAACAGCACATTTGTCATAAATCGTCTATCATCATTCGGGGTGATCTTTACAGGAACCATTTACTGCAGGTGGGTATTTGAATGTCAGAGTACATAGCTTCAGCTTCAGGTGTTGGGGTGCTGCGGCTCTCTTCCCGGGGAGTGCGTCACAATGAATGAAGCTCACGGTGTTCCTCAGCGCCTCCCATGCGGACATGGCACCTCCGCCAGCAGGGAGCAGGCACGCCCGGGACTGTTGGATCCCATTTTCATTTAAGAGGAACAAAATCTCAAACGTAAATGGATGCACATGGATCATCTACTGCTCTCTCCTGCAGGGAAGTAATATGTTTTCACTTCTGGTGCCCATGTTGGTTTTCCCTTTTCTCTGAATGGGCGCTCCGGAGAATGGGTGTTTCCTCAGTAAGCTGAGAAACTCAAAAGACTAGTGGAGTTCGAGGGTAGGTGTCCTATCTCACACTTAACCAAGGGAGTGTGGAATTACACAAGTGTGCAGACAGGCTAATCATCTGACCTAATCAGCAATGCAGATTTTAAAAAGCCTTCTAATTACTTCCTCAACTTGGCTGAAGGTATGGTAAAAAGAATTTCTCAGCAGGGTGGTAACAGATGTATTTCATAATATTGATTGAAAATATTGGAAAGAAATCCTCAATTATAGTGTTCCTGAAAAGTACATAAAAAATAGCATATTTAACATATTTTAAACTTTCATTGAGATATAAACATAACATAATTTAGATGATCAGCTCTCACACCAGTCATTTGGGGTCCTGTGTAGATAGACTTTAACGTTCAGTCAGGTTGCTTGTCGGTGACTGGCCCAGACCTTCCTTGAGTGGCATTACTTACCTATGAGAGCTCAAGTTGTCGTGGTCATCCTGGGGCCACCAAAATTATTCCCTTATTTTTAGCTATTTGTTAATTTGGTATCTTGGCAAAGGAGTCTTAGTGCATCATGTTTTAACAACTTTAAATTGTTGACATTTACAAGCAATGTAACACCACACAATATGTGATTTGGAAGCCTAGATAGATCTGTTACTCATTTTCTTGGCTGAATTTGAGTAGTTATGAATGATTGTTAACTGAATCATTCTATAACAGATTGCCCAAAAGAAACTGTCTGGATTCCTGGTTGAAATGCCCGTATCATCTCTGTGTTCTATGCTTCGTGAGTGCTGCTTGTTCATCTTTACTTTACATGCTGTGAGCTGTTCAGTATCTTTTCCAGTATGTTCTGTTTAATGTAAGTTATCCCAAGCCAGTTTATGTTGCTTGCAGCCAAGATAAATCTCAAATGATATGGTACCTCCACTGCCTTTGGAGTGACTGAATGTTTAAATATCTCTGTTATGAGATGGTTGCAGAACTGGTTCCTTTCTTCCACAAAGATTTTCTCCAACATCCCTTTCCTAGGAAATCTTCTCTAGAGATCAAGTGGAAAAGTTTTCTTGTCCCACCATGTGTAGGACAAAGAAAACATTAAAAAACTCTTCAATGAGCGTCACTGCATACCTCTAGCATTTGAGGAAATGCAGTATTTGAGGAACTTAAGGGGTAAGTCACATGACAGTGAATTGTTTTATTTGAGGGCCAGAAAATATGGATAATCTAATATATGATTTAATTTCTTTGCTAGTGACTGAAACTAGAACATAGTTATGCAATTGCAAGTCATAAGATGTAACATTTTTCTATATCCAGACTCTTAAATATTTAGCTCAGAATTTCTCAACCTGGCACTCTTGACGTTTTAGACAACTTAATTCTTTGACATGGGGGGACTGACTGTCTTGTGTATTGTGGAATGTCTAGGAGTATCACTGAAGATGCCAGTAACAGCCCTGGCCAGTATGGCTCAGTGGGCTGGAGTGTTGTCCCATAGCCAAAGGGTTGCGGATTTGATTCCCAGTCAGGGCATGTACCTGGGTTGAGAGTTTGATCCCTGGTCCAGGCATATGAGGGAAGTAGCCAGTCAATGTCTCTCTCTCTCTCTCTCTCTCTTTCTCTCTCTCTCTCTGATGTTCCTCTTTCTCTAAAAGCAATGAAAAAATGTCCTTGAGGACAAAAAAAAAGTTTTTTTAAAGATGCCAGTAACATCTTCCTCCCAAGCAGTGACAAATCAGAATATTCATCTCTAGACATTACCAATGTCTCCTGAGGGAAAAATTTGCTCTTGTTTGAGGACCACTGGTTTAGATTATTTGACTTATTTTCTCTTTAATTTAAGCAACAATTACCAAGCACTTTCACTCTTCACTCTTGTAGTTTGAAGGAAAAATTCAAACTACATTTTAATACATGTATACTTACAGGAATAATGTGTGGCAGATGCAATAGTACACGAGGTTCAACAGATATAATAAGTTCCTTCCTAACCAAATTGAGTTACAAACCTGTTGAAACTCTTTAGATATAGTTTTTCTATTCATGTTGTAAATGTTAGGTAGAATCATAAAAAATTATCTGTCCATGGGAAAAAAAAAAAAAAAGGTGAAATACTAGCAGTAAGAAAAGAATTATTTGAGAAAAAAAAATTGTAAATGTACTTAAATGCCATTGTAACCATGATTTTAAGTGAATTTGCTTTTTTTCTTTTTCTTCTTCTTTTTTTTTTAACCAACAGTGGTGGTTTTAGAAATGTAATGTAGGCAGGTTTGGGGAGCAGCAATCTGGACGGAGCTGGCTGGCATTACAGCCATGTATTCTAACAATACAATTGTGCAGCTAGTATAGTACTTTTAATTTGGCAGGTGTGTGTGTACTTTGTGCATGAGGTGAGGGCCGACGGAAATCCTACACAGTGGTCATTAAAGTTGTTCATAGAGAGAAGGAGTAGGAGCTGAAATCTAATTTTCAAAAATATGAGTTAAGGTATGAAATGTTGACTGCCATTCTCTCATTTGAAAGGACCCGATGGTCCTTGTTGGCAGGACTCCAATCATCGGGCCATTTCTTGCTTTGGCAAATTCACAGTGGGAGGAGAGTTATACCTGCGAAATGCCTTTTTGAAAAGCAAAATCAGGATGGAGACAAAGGGTACTTTTTAGCACATATAAACATGTAAGTAAAATGCTACCACTACTTCTGCCATTTCTCTACACTCAGATCGCAGTCATAGATGGCAAGATAATCATTCACTGAAGTTTGAAAAACACCTAAAACTTTATTTAAGTCTTGTGAACCTTGCTCTTCTTTAAGCTTATTATGAGAGCTGTAAGCAAGAGCAGTAAAATGGCCAGGACTCCGGCGGCAGAAACAAGAAGCCAGAGGGTCGAACAGTAATGTAGGACCTCCCTGATCAGCTTCTGACCACTCAGGCGTAGGTGCTATCATGGATTTTATAGTTTCTATTCTACAGTCATACCCTGAAACTATTGAGAGCTGATGGAGGTTTTGTAAATCAAATGAACAAGGGGAAAGAGTCAGCCGAGTGCTCAGGACGAAAAAATACTTTTCACTAATTCCTGGGATTTCTAGAGAATTCTGCGTGCGTGATATACACAGAAGAGACCTTCCATGCTTGATGTTGGTCCAGGACAAGGTTAACTTTCTGCACACTAATTTTAATTCATATATATGCCTTTTCTTCCCAGCACAAATGGACCCCCGAGGCCTATCTCCCAGACAAAGTAAAAGTGACAGTGATGATGATGACCTGCCAAATGTGACCTTAGATAGCGTTAATGAAACTGGATCTACGGCCCTTTCCATAGCCAGAGCAGTTCAAGAGTAAGTATCACATTCTCAGGATGAAATAAGATTTGCCAAGGTGTTCAATGGATAATGGAAATAGCGGCTTCTCCTGTTCCCCAGACATGTCATTCTAGCCCTGCACTGGTACGTGCATCGGCATCTTTCCACTCAGCCTTCTGTCCTTCGGGAGGAGGTCGGGGGGAGCCTGGAGCATTTTACATAGTTGAAAACTTGTGTTTTGATTAGAAATAAGACTTCTGTGCTTTTTTTCTGATACCTCCTGCCCCTTCTCTTTAACTCTGAAAAAAAGAATTGCTCATTCTGAGTGTCACTATCCAATTATCATCCTCATTGTTACTATTCACATACAACAGTCAAGGGAACTAACTATAGCAAGGATTATTATTTTCTTTTGATAGGAAAGTACGGGAGAGCTTTTTTGAAATTTCAAATTTTGGGGACAACATGTTACCACTTTGAAAAATAAGAACCATATGTAATTTTAAAAAGGACCTTTTCTCTTTCCTTTTGTCTGGACTGTAGCATTCGATTTCAGCCCTTGTTTATTGAAAGCAGCTGTTTTTCTGTCATTGCCAATTCTGTATTTAGAAATGAACCTATGGCTAGTCTGTGTATGCTTTTCCTCTACAATCATTTTTAATAAAATAATCTTGAAGAAGGTGAGGATTTAATAGCCACTGTTATTGCTGACACACATGTTAATTAAATTTGTTCAAAATAATTTGTTACTTCTCATATATTAATTTCTTCTTCCCCAAATAGTAACTAAGTATCCACTCTGTTCACATATTAAACCTTTGACATTTTAGAATATAAAACATGTTATATGTATGTGAGTGTATAAAATGAGTTATATATCTCTATGTAATATATATTATTTATTTATATTATATAGGTATATGTATACGTACAAATATGTATGATATATTAAGGGAAACCAGAATATAGTGGATCAAAAATGAAATTCAGAGTCTCATCTGGATTTAAATTCACAGTCAAGCTTTTAATATCTGTGTGACTTTAGCAAGTTATTTAATGACTCAGATGTTTCTTTGAGGTGAGAAAATCAGGACACAGCTTACAGGACTATTGTGAGGATATGGTACAGTTACAAGGCATAAAAAGCACATCACAGAGTTTGAGCACATAGTAGGCTTTGATTAAGGTAGAAGTATTGTTATAATTAGTAATAATAATAATAGTGTGTGGTGTAAGTATGTGACAACTAGGAAATACACAAGTATTATAGAATGAAGTACTGTCATTCTAGTCGTACAAGAGGGTCAGAGAAGTTAACTGACTTGTCAAATCACATAATAAATGTTAACAAGACAAAGTTTTAGACTTCTGACTCTAAAAACAATCTTTTTCTAAAAGTTCCTGTAATGTCTTTTTCCATAACATACTTCTGCTTGAGCAATTTATTAAAACATTCTTTTCAAATTTATTTAAATAACTGGTTATAGCAACCTAGTTTATCCAAAGCAAATGTCACCATGAACCAGGAGAGGCACTGAATCAAAGGGGTGCCTGAAGCTGTGTTTGAAGTGGCAGCATGTGAGTTACCGCATTGCTGGTTCAGGCATCAGCACAGTGATCTTGAGCTTGTGCGGGCTAAATCTTCACGTCAAAGATTCCACAATCTCATCCGGAAAATTAGACGAAATGATGACAAGTTTCAGTTCCGATATGAATAATAAATTTCATAGACATTTTAATCAGATTGTCCTGCATCACGTGTGTGTGTGTGTGTGTATACATGTTTATAGACATGTGTGTTACTTTTAATTCAAACTTTCAAGTTTGGAACTGTGATTACTAAAATCTAAATTATGCTTACTCCGTTGGGGGCTTATATAGCAAGGAATGGTATTAATTTCTTAAACATAACCATTTTGTGCTTCTAATATTATGTGCTTAGAATATAATAATATATGTTAATGTGAAACTTTTAATAGCCTCAGAAACCAGATCTTCCTTTTCAACATAACCTCTCTGATTTGCTCTGTGAAAACATTTTCAAACTGCAGTATTTTGTATACATGTCCTTATGCCTGCCTTTATTACTGTTACAAAAGTTGCGTGTGTACCTAGGGAAATGCCAGATTCATTATTCATGTAAGTGTTTTCATTAAACGATTAGTAAAGAATACTGAGCTGTCACCTGGGAAGCCCTAGAATGCCAGGACCCATCAATAGTTAATAACCATCATTCAGCTAAGCATGTGTATGTAAACACTGGGAAGTGCAAGGATAACTATTGGATGAAGCAAAAAGATTGTTCTTCAGAGACCTCTTCAACATATGTATATTTCAAAACTTACGGTAATACATTGAGAAAAATTTTGCTCTGGGACAAGTAAATATATAATCCTTCCTAGAGAATTAAAAAATAAAAACCGTGCTTAGGTTCACCCAAAGTTAACTTCCAATGCGTGCAATTGTGACATGTCTCTATGCTCTTCTATTCTTCAGTGCACATCTGTTTCATTATTAATCTCTCTTTCCTTTCCTTCTGTGTGCCTTTAGATCTTGATGCCTTCTAGTAACTCATAAGCTGTCAGACAAACAAAAAATAAACATTCTAATATACTGTGATCAATAAAATAATGCATTAAATAATAAAAGGATAAAATAACAGCTTGGCATGATCAAGGTGAGATGATTTTGCAAGACATCTGTGGATCTATTTCCTGTCCTTGCTGAACTTTCCTGAAAGAGTCAGGTTGAGAAGAATGTGTGCAGGTAGAGAGGTGATGAAATCAAAGGTTGATGTACAGTAGCAGTAACACATTTTAAAAGACCTGGACAACCAGTTCACTTTTATCTTTCCAATGAAAGACAAAAGGAGCTATGGTTTAGGAGGGGTACAAACGCTCTCTTACTCATTGGCCAGTATGGGCATGTCAGGAAAGGGAAGGGGGAAGATGAGAAAAGAGGATATTAAAGAAGATTGACACTAGACAGGGATAACACTGCCTTGTCCTGGGCCAACCCTTCAAACAGGACGCTAACCTGCAGGGTGAGTTTCTCCAGGTGAAGCTCTCCTCTTCCATTCAGGTTCATAGTCGTGCCTCATGCAATAATCATCATAGTTTGAATTTTTAACTTCTTACTTTATTGACATTATTATATTTACACAGCATAAAAGTTAATAAGCTAATAAATGTTTCCTGAATGTCTAATATATTTGGCATTTTACTGGTTTTTAAAAATGCGCTGTTATTAAAACTTCAGTTTAAGAAATGTTTCCTTTGGTTTGAAATGCAGAAGTTGTTAGTCAGAATTGCATCCCCTGCCCCACCACAAACATTCACATACTTATCTTTAAATAAAAAAGAGCATTGCTTGGTGGCTAGAGCAGCACCCTGAGGTTACCTTGATTTATATAGATTTATATAATGCGGCTACTGATCTGTGCTAGGACGGATCATTTCAACCACTTGCATCAATTCACGTGATTCCTCTTTTTCAGCTGATCATCAGTGAAGTCAGATAAATTGGAAGAAATGGCCACAGAGAGGCCCTCAGACAGGCTCTACCCTTTTCTTATGTCAATTGTAGAGATACGGTCCTAGTCAGAAACCATGTACTCAGTAATTCTAACAAAGCCAACTTCCAGTAATTCATAGAACATCTGTTTTATTTTGACCTGTTTTTCTTTCTGTTTTTTTTTTACCCCCAATTGTATAATAGGGTCATTACCCTTTAACAACTTGACAAACATAATTATGAAATAAGCGTTTGGGAAAAGAGAGATATGGGCTCATTATTAGAGCAAATTGTTATAATTAACTCTTACCCTAGGCAAAACAACGATATTTTTTAAATAAGCAAAGTCTGGCTTTGTTATGCAGAACCTCTAATCTCTACACTCCACTCTTTTTTCCTAATTCCAAACATTCATAATACTCATTTGTTGATGTTAAGTAGAATAACCAACTTCCTTCAAGTTAAAGTATAAATGAATCATAATATCTGAAATAGGGCCCTGTTCGGAGAAATTTCAGTTTAACCAGGAACAAGCATTAACCTAAAAAAATAAGGCTATAAATATAATACTTTCAGTAAGAGTGAAATGTGAAACGGTAGAGTGGAGGGCAGAGAAAGCAGATGAAGATGCTAAGGACATGCACCTGTGTTTCCCAGTCTCGGTCCTTTCAGAGTTGGTAAGTGCACATTATGGTTTAACTCATACCATATCTGAGTAGTCTACCTTCTGATTTTCATTATAACTCTCAGAGGGGAACAAAAGTAACATAAATTAGTAGTGTTAATAACTTTTTGCTTTGGCTAGCATGTCTGATATTTGCACCTGTTAAAATGATGTTTTTAAATGGTTCATTGTTGATTACATTTCAGCTAATTAAAACACTTCACTGTTTTCCTCTTGTTTTTATTACAGTTGACCTTTGTCTCACTCAGGTTCACTTATATGTAGATCTTTTTCAATAAACATTGTAAATATACTTTCCTTATGATTTTCTTAATAACATTTTTTCTAGCTTTAAGAATTTATTTTAAGAATACAGTTCATAATTCCTAGAACATCCAGAATGTGTTAATTGACTCTTATAGTATCAGTACACCTTCCAGTCATCAATGGGCTATTAGTAGATAAGTTTGGGGGAGTCAAAAGTTATGCATAGATTTTTTAATGCACAGGAGTCAGTGCCCCTGACCCCCGCATTGGTCAAGGGTCAACTATGTGTTGCTCATGTGAAGTGGTTCTCTTAAAGCAAAACAATTTGTGAACTACTGGAAATAGAGAGTCTTATCTTTAGTATATTTTCACTCAAATGCTCTTTGAAAGAGCAATAGGTAGCATGTTAGAGATATGATTGCTTCCTTCAAACTTTGTTGCTAGTTTCAGATATCACAGTTCTTAATTTAGAAAATTGCATTTCATGATCAAAGAAAATCATAAATCTCGAGGGGGTGATTATTTATTTCCTTCAGTTTTCTTGTTTCAAACTTCTTGAACATACCTCCTGTTTCTAGAAACATAGTCTCCC